CCCATATTTTGGTATTAAGTTTTAGAATAAAAAATTATTAATAATTTGAACGTTGTCTGTTTGAAGGACCATATAAAAATATATTCAATACTTTAAGGACTAAAATGATGCCATTGAAATATTGAAGACCAAAATGAGAGAAACTCCAAATTTTGGGGACCTCCAATGTAATTAACTCAATTATTTTTTAGTTGCATAGTAGAAAACAAAAGAGGAAACCATTTTAAACATAATACAAAATTTAAGGACTAATTGTGATATTTAACCATACATAATTTATATAGTAACTATAGTGTCATACCTAAATCAAGCGGAGTGATAGACAAATCAAGTAATTTTTTTGCAAAAAATGAACAAAAAAAAAAAGAGCCCAAATCTCTGGAGTCATGTTGGACCGGCGGTCGACGCGGAGTCAAGTGTTAAAAATAAGGAGCTTGACTTTTTCGACAAAAGACTTAGATGCGTCGGTTAGACTGACGTGTCTAAATAGGAAATTCGGCTACTCAAAACATGTCAAACGATTTAACGTTTTTACATCTACGTCTGTCCGTTTGACATGTTTAAGATGAATATGAGTCAGTTTTTTGGTGTTAAAAACATCAAATTAACTTACGTTTTTAACTTAAAAGACGTCTGTTCATTTGACGTCTTTAAACAAAAAACGTCAATCTATTTCACATTTTAAAAATAACGTGATTTAGAAATTATTTTTTAAACCAACTATTATTTGGGATATTTTTTTTAAAAGTCCATGGGATGGGTCAAATCTCAATAAAATGTAAACAATTTTTTTTTTTTTTTTTGATGTTGATGCCCGGACTCGGGTACATGACATATTACTTGAGCAGATGATGAACGCTTATTTGGGGGTGATAACTTCTTATACAATACAAAAATATGATTTAAAATTGTTACGAAATTAGCGGGTTAGGGTTGATCATTTATCGACACCAACTTGTAAATGACACGATCCGTTAACACGAATAATAAATAGGTCGAATTAGTTTCAATTACGAACGTTAACACGTTTAATTAGTATTATAAGAATAAAATGTTATTTTTTATTATATTTGATCAAGTAGTGACATAATTATTTTACAAATATATATATATTTTCTTTTTTTTTACTCATTTTTATTTTTATATTTAATAAATTAATTTTGAGTTTATGAAAAAAGTATGAACATAGGTTGGATCAAGTGACAATTAATTTTTAGATTTAAATATGAGAGTTAAATTTTTTATTCACAGATTATATAAGTCAATACAAATACGACACGAAAATAAATAAGTCGACTTGACTTGGTATGATTAGTTAAACGACCCTAGTTTCATAGGTTATTTTTCGATCTTTCTCCCCCATAATGCTTCCAAAGCGATCCTGGAACTTAGAATGTCTAGCCAATATTTAAGTTAGAATTGATTAATACTCGATACAAACCCGAAATAAGAAGAAACAACACGATTGCCGCCCTATATATTCTCAAGGGAAATCAACAAATCCCACCAGCGTAAAGCAAAATATTGGAACAATCAACCCAGTTTGTGTAAGTCATTTATATCAGGCTAGCTATTAGACCATATCTCAGTTTGAGACACAATCAGGGCTGTAATTAAGGATCATCTGTTTCGAATTGGAAGAAACATTGGACTCTGCAAACATGATTTCATGTTGGATGCAGTCTCTTCAGAAGAAAGAAAGAGTCTACCTGTGACTCTGAGAAAAGAAAGGAACTGGAATCCATACATTGATTGTGAGGACATAGAACTATGGAAGAAGCATGAGTTATCATGCTTTTCCAACTCAAACTTTCCCAATTGAGGGATAAATATGTTATCAATCTGATTGAGTTTGATTATCTTTTAATAACTAAGAATCTCAATTACGCGTTTTTTTGGCCGTGCAATCACCTATAAACTATGTGCATTAAACCAGCCCAAACATTTATTATAGAACTTGAATTTAAAATTTTGAGATAATAGCCACTGAAGTTGTACCACCCATGGCTATCAAAGTCTTGGTCGAGATCCTAGTATCCTACGGTTCTATGATCCGGCACAAGAAAATCAATTTGAGTCTCTTGTAAAATTCTAAAATTGTAGAATCTTAATAGATCGTGATATGAATCTTATTGGATTGGAGAATTCCGATTCAAATTGCGAGTTTACCGATTCAAGTTGTTTGGTTTGTTTCTCCGTCGCATTTGGTTATTGAACAAACTCAATGCATATTTATCGGGGTTTTTTTTTTTTTTTTGTTCAATCTTGTACTGACTACTTTCTTGAACTCCGAGGCTAGCCACCATAACTTGAGCTGAGTTAGAGAATGTCTCTGACAAGGATGGCTAGCCAGGCTTTTAGGGATTAAAGCATATTTATTGTTTTAATAGTTAAAGACTCAATTTAAATGTGAATGTTTTATATAATGAGAGTTTATTGTGGAATTTCAATTAATAAGAAAAGTAACAAATTTTATTTTTCATTTATAATAAAATCTCTTTATTCCGTTCTTCTCTCACTGAAAAACTCAAAGCAATAGTTAGACTTGATTTTCTTTCGAGCAATGTTATTGAGGCATAATTTAATGACATAATTTGGGGACTTAATGATTGTAACCATTATATTGTTAGTGGGTCCTAACATTAAATTATCACTGGATTCCAACACTATCAATCCAATGGTCATAATGCATTAAATTCCCAAATTATGTCCCAATAGCATTAGTGTTTTCTTTCTCGGTAAGTGATCATAGTCAAATAATTTTTCATTTTTATTCTTTTTTTTTGGATGTCAAACAATCAAAGTTGTCTATGGTCGAAATTACTACTACTCTCAAAATCCCACAACCTTTGAATTTCAACCATTTGCAATCCTCAAATTGTAGTTTATTCTAGCACACATTTAAGTTCTTGTTTGTCAATTTTGTTTCGAGAAGCATATGAGCTTCTATGCCTTTTGTCTATTCGAAGATTTAATGTTCATATTGCTTTTGCAGGAGGGAACTTCAAACTATTTTAAAGGACCAATGCTCTTCTTTTGCTATTTGATAGACGCAGCAAGTTTCTTTGTACATATAGATCATAAATCTATATGTAAGTGACTACCCATTCTACCCACTAAGTAAACAAATGAATTCTTACATAAGCTTGTTGGGTTCTGTATATAATCTCTGTCGTTCTTTTGTTGGTTAGTCTCTAATTTGATGCTATGAGTCTTGCTAGTTGAACCACAAATTTGGATTATGAGATTGTGTTCCGATGAGATAATGACATGTTCGTTTAATGTGATGTTTGTCTTCCGCGTTCTATGCTGAATTAAGAGATGGTTCCATTGATTTTTTTTTACCTGATGATTGAAGCATGACGTGCTGAAAAGTTGTTTTGCAGAGGACAAACCCTCAAAGCCTTAGTTATTAAAATAGCAAACAGATTTGTGATGAAGAAATGCAAAGCTAAAGGCTGGTTCCTTGTCTTTGAAACGATTTTTGGGAAGGAAGGAGTGCTCTCAAACTTGGTCAATGAAGAGCCATGGATCATGAAGCTGTTTCTGCCAAGCTCGAGGTCCGTCTTTCCCATGATAGTGCAATTAGATTGAACATCCGTCAAGTAGCTCTAATTTTCCTATTGAACTTTTGCTGTTAGCAGCAGCGGAAGCCAGCGATATGCAATGAAAATGCAAGAAGGCATTTTTTTTTTTTTTTTGGCTTTTTAGTTCTGGTCATATACAATGGTATATATGTACTCATGAGCTAAAATTTAATTGTCTTGTACTTTTTCTTACTTATTTTTCTCTAATGTAATCTTTTTTTGGGAAAGTATTCACTAACGAAGTCTGCTAATAAATCCATTTTGTTTCACAGTTGAATTAAGATTGCGACTCTTCGACTTTATCAAACAATATCCCTTAATAAGACCTGCCAGAATTTGGGAATTATGCAATTTATTTCCCTTTGTTTTGACCAATCTTCGAGCAGATGAGACTTGTTTCGTGATGGAAAAAATGAGGTACAAATTTGATTATTTATTTTTCAATTTTACAATAATATTATGCCACTGAATTGTGATAAGGCTATTAGACCTGACATCAACTGAGACATAAACAAGGTTGTGAAGATCATCTGTTTCAAAACATTGGACTCTGGAAATATGGTTTCTCATATACAGTTTAGCCTTTTCAGAAGAAAGAATCAGTCTCCCAGTGACAAAAGTAGAGGATTCTGAAATATCATTCTTTAGTATCGTATTTTCACTTTTCATTCAATAAAAATGTGCTATGTGCAAAATCAATGACTGAAATAGATTGTGATTATGTACCAAAATCAGTACCAAGCCTTATCCAAGAAAGAGACTGGAATTCACACTGATTGTTGTGAGGATGGAGAAGAAAAGATATCATCAATCTGATTGAGTTTAATTATTTACGTAGTTTTTTTAATAATAAAGAATCGTGTCAACCACGTCTCTGTTTCACTCATAATCGCTCGCAAACCATGGAAGCGATCAAAGTGTCCCCTGCCGAGGCTCAAACTTGAAATCTCCATATAGTAACCACTGACTTTCAAAGATGACAGTAGGCCTGGTCAAGGTTTCAAACACCAGACCTGGTGGGTCATTCAGGTTGCCAGGTCAATAAAGTTTTTGTATTAATTGTTAATTACATGAGAATATTCTTCAGAACATACCTCTATAATTAATGAAATTTATGAAACCTTGACCTTGATTTTGCCGTCATGCCACAGATAACTATCTGGGAACTTGCTCAGATGTTACTTGTGTTTCTTTTTTTTTTGTTATAGAATATAAAGACTTGTATGAACTACTCTCTCATGCGCAACGACTAGCCTGACCAAAACTCCATTGCGCAAATCCCATGGTAGACCTCGTCCTGAGAAGCAAAGGAAAAAATAAAAAGAAAGGGAAGATCTAATTGCTAACAATGGAGATGTGTTTTTTAATCATCTCTCAGTTGGAATTCTACTGCTTTGTCAAGTACTCATAGCAATGGCCATCATATCTGTGACGGTGTTTGGATGTGCTGATTGTACTGATGACCAGACAGAGGCTGAGAAGGCCAGTGGGGAAAATAATAAAGAAAAGAAGGACGAAAAAAAAGAGAAGCCCAGCAACGAAGTTGCCATTGATTGCTGTGGTGGTGGTTGCTGTGATGGAGATGGTGGTAGTGGGTGTGGGGGTGGTTGTGGGGGTGACTGAGATCACCGCCACCACCACCACCACGTACAACTGCTGCCAATTTTTCAGTGATGTGTCCGGTGTCTGTGGTGGTTCTGGGGTTGACTCAGATCACCACCATCAGCATGGCTTGCTGCCCATGTTTCTGTTATTTCCCCTCTTTAGTATAAGCCTGTTGTGTGTTCCATGAGAGTTACATTACATATGATATGTCCCTTCATCACCTGCTTTTTATCCAGTGATTTCTTTTTCAATTTCATTGTTTGGTCCTTAGGTTCATAATGCTCACATAATGGGGAATAAAATTTTCGTCTATAATAAAATTCGATAAATCGTAAGCAACTTTATTCTTTTTTTAGAGCAGTTGATACCCAAATTCAAGTACATGACATATTAGGCGAGCATATGATGAATGCTTATATAGGGTGGCAACTTCTAATTCGACGTGAAAACACGATTTAAAATCAATATGAATTAACGGGATAGAATTGACTGTTTATCAACACAAACTTGTAAATAAATTGATCTGTTAACACGAATAATAAATGGGTCGTTTTAATGTTAAACACGAACACGAAATTGACACGATTAACACGTTTAATTAGTATTATAAGAATAAAATATTAATTTGTATTATATTTTATCATGTAGCTAGTGACATAATTATTCTACAAAAAAATATATATATTTTTGCTCGTTCAACACAAATATGATACGAAAATATAGGTCGACTTGACTCGACACGATTAGTTAAACGGCTCCAGTATCGTAGGTTAACTTTTTATCTTCCTCCCCCGTAACGCTCCCAAAGCGATCCCGAAACTTAGAACGGCCGGCCTATATTTGGGTTAAGGTCGACTAATACTCGATATCATACGACGCGAACACGATTGTCACCCCCTATGAATTCTGAGGGAAAATCAACATATTTTTTGAGATAAATAAAGCAAAGTATTGGATCAACCCAGTTTGTCTTGTAAGGATCATCTGTTTCTAATCGGAAGAAACATTAATTGGACTTGCAAACATGGTTTCATGTTGAATGCAGTCTCTTCAGAAGAAAGAAAGAGGCTACCTGTGAGAAAAAGAAAGGGACTGGAATCCATACATTGATTGTGAGGACATAGAACTATGGAAGAAGCATGAGTTATCATGCTTTTTCAACTCAAACTTTCTCAATTGAGGGATAAATATGTCATCAATCTGATTGAGTTTGATTATCTATATAGTTTTTTAATAACCATAAATCTCAACTACGCATTTCTTACCTGTATAATCACCTACAAATTATGTGCATTGAATCAGTCCAAGCATTTATTATAGGACTGGAATTTAAAATTTTGAGATAATAGCCACTGAAGTTGTACCAACCATGGTTATCAAACTCTTGGTCCAGATCCTAGGATCTTACGATTCTATGATGTGGTACAAGAAAATTAATTTGAGTCTCTTGTAAAAATTCACAATTGTAGCATCTTAATAGATCGTGATCTAAATCTTATTGAATCGTAGAATTTTGATTCATATTGCGAGTTTACTAATCCAAGTTGTTGAGTTTGTTTATCAGCTGCATTTACTTCTCGAGCTCAGAGGTTGACCACAATTACTTGAGCTGGGTTAGAGCATGTCTCTGACAAGAATAACTAGCTCTTAGAGGTTTAGAGTATATTTATCATTTTAATAGTTAAAGACTCGATCTAAATATGAATGTTTTATATAATGAGAGTTTATTGTGGAATTTTAACAAATGAGATTAGCAACACTTTTTGTTTTCCCGTTTATAATCAAGTCTCTTTGGTTTGTTCTTCTCTCATTGAAAAACTCAAAGGAATAGTTAAACTTGATTTTCTCTCTCGGTGAGTGATCATAGCCAAATAATTTTTTATTTTATTATTTTTCTATTATTTTTTTTGTTTGGATGTCAAACAATCAAAGTTGTCTTTCGTCGAAATTACTACTCCTTTTAAAATCCCACAACATTAGCAATCCACCTTTGAATTTCAACCATTTGCAATCCTCAAATTGTAGTTTATTCAACAGTGTCTCTAAGTTCTTGTTTGTTATAATATTTATATCTATAATATAAAGCAGGACATACTTCAATAATAAGTCCATTCGACGATCTCAAATAAACTCATCTAACGGCCACTAATATTTCTCTCAAAATCATTCACATTGAATTTTTTTTCCTCCAAATCTATCACTTTTCACTTACGTTACATTGTGTTTTCAGGCACGGGTTACCTCTAGTTTATATATATATACTAGGCTTGTTTAATTATTGTTTTTGAAAATTCAGTATTATTATATGTTTTTTGTCTCAATTTTTTTGGTAGATAGGATCTTACTATTTTGTATCAGATGTTACGATCTCCATCTTGTACCCTTCCTCATCGATCTAAGACAGGATCCCGATTTTAAAAATGTTAGTACCAACCGAAACAACGGACAAACCAATCATGTATATAGTTAGTCTAACCTTTTGGATTATTGATTTGGACTATATATATCCTTAACATTATTAGTCCTGCCATGGTGTGAAAAACAAAAAGGTATGAAATCTTGACCCTTGATGTTGCCGTCTTGCCACTTAAAAACTAACTAAGAACCTGCTTAGATGTTGCTGATTCCATCGGATTGGTGTAGGGCTCAAACTCCGTAGTAGACTTCGTTCTGAGAAGTGAAGGAAAAAAGTCAAACGAAATGAAAGATCTAAGCTTGTGATAAAACGAAAAAAGGGTAAACTTCGTAGAGCATTGGAAGTTGTCAGAATAAAATCGTCTAATACATTGATTATAAAAGGATATTTAGTGAAAAAACAAGATACAATCAAGCTCATAAAAACCAACGAAGTGGGCAATTATTAGGAGTAGTTTTAGATTAATTTTAAGAAATAGTTAATATTGTAATCAAAACTGTTTATTGAGTCTTTTTATAACTGAAGTCTTTTTAATTGAATTAATAAAAAAATATTTTTTTATTAAATTTATATACCATGTGTTTGTTCGTTATTTTTTTATTTAAGGAAATCCTGAAATATGACATTTGAACCCTTTAGAGCATCTCCGCCCTTATCCCCTTTTTGTACCCAAATTTAAATTTGGGTAAAGATTGTCTAAAATATTACTCCAATATTAAACTCAGATCCATACTAAATGAAAGAAAATCTTTTTTTAAACCCAAAACAAGACTTTTTTTATAAACTCAAATATTTAATAGTGAGATTACACCCTTCCTTAAAGATTTAATGATTATATTTTATTCTCTTTTAAATTTAAATTTATCTTCTTTTTTTCCTTTAAATTTAAATTTTTCTTCATTTAAATTTGATTTCTCCCTTGGAGAGGTCTGCATCGATCCCAACGATCTTTGGAGCAACACCTACATTTACTCTTCTGTTTCTAGACTAAACTGAAACACTCAAGGGGTTTAGAAATTCAGTTTGCCTGAAAATTTTACACAAATTAAAAATTTTATTTTATGTGCAAAAAGAGAAGAGAGAGAAAGAGATTGATTTATTTTAGAGAGAAGACAACCAAAAAAAAATACTATGACTAGTTTAAACTAAAATTCCTGGTTGTAATCTGCAAATCATTAGAATATATGGAGAAAATCGATAATCTATAATTTATTAAAGAAAAATATGCAGGGAAACCTCCTCGAAGAAACTTACCATGACGATGATAAGATAATGATTGGCAGCACCATGCCTATATAAAAGTGTTCAAGTTTTTGAAAGCTCCTTAAACATGGAGGCGGTGTCTTTATTTTTCATTCTGCTGATATGTGTAGTAGTCATAATAACCATCGTACGTGTGCTGGCGTGTATATGCCGTGAAGAAGGCAATAGTACTACAGAAGCAGGTGGTGGTGCAAATAACCAAGAGAAAAAGGAGAAGCGCGAGCATGAGGTCACCATTGAATGCTGTGGTGGTGGTTGCGGTGGAGATGGTGGTGACGGTGGTGGCTGTGGTGGTGGTTGTGGAGGAGGTGACTGAGATTTTCACCACCACGGCCGTGCCCGCTGCCAATTTTTTCAGTGATGTATACTACTTAATAAGCCTGTTATGTGTTCCATCTGCATGACATCTCTTCACCTGGTTTTATCAATCAAATTTCCTTTTGAAACTCCATTGGTTCAATCGTTCCTATGTAAAGCATTTTTGTGGTTTGGCAATGATCATCAGTTTCTATGTAAAGCATTTTTGTAGTTTGGCAATGATCATCAGTTTGTACTCTGTGCACAACGCTTAGTATATGCAGATCGGGAAGAAAAAAAGTAACCGATAATTTTATTTCTTCGTTTTAGGGAAATTAATTTTTGAACTCGAACTCATAACTTCTTGATTGGACGGATTAAACTAGTTAGCACTCTAGGTCTAATCCCTTTGTTTGATACGAAATAAATTTACATCTAGAAAGGATAGATTTACGAAGCAATGATTGACTAAATACAAACTATTAGCAGATGATCATGGGGGTAAGAAATTACTTTTTCTGTTGCCCTGTAAATTTGGGGTACTGTCTTCCTATAATGTTGCCACTACTTGGCTGAAAACTTCATATGAAGACTTTATCAATATTATTCTTATTTTTTTTACTCGATTACAAAATCTAAGTTTTACCTTTTAGAACGTCGAAACCATACATGTAGTGCTCGTCTAGGGTTTATTTTAACCTACATGAGTGCTATTTTTCTGATGTTAAAATGTGTGTGTGAGAGAGAGAGGGGTATTGTTTGTGTGTTTTTTTTGGCTATAAGGTGTTCAAGTGCCAACTACTCTCGCATGTTCAAATATTGTCTATTGTAGTCCGAGAGAGTATAAAACATATTCTTTGAAAAACAAGTGTGTAGAAAGTGTTGTGTGTGTGTATGAGAGAAAAAAAGAGGAGTATGTTTTTGCTAATTGATGCGTCCTTTGGGGTGAGAGAATATCAAGTGTTTGAAACAATGGGAAAGAAAATTGGCAAATTTAGAAGTCAAGTACAAATATTTGAACTTAATTGAGTTAAACTACATTCAAAGAAACTTATTTAGTTTTAAGTGTATTTTTTTGAATAAATATTAAAAGGTCATTCATTACTCCATTACTCTCTCTCCCTCTCTCCCCATTAGTCTCACTCTCTCTTCCATATTTTCTCTCTATCTCCCTCTCTCAATCAATCCCTTATTTTCTCACTCTTTCTCTCTCTTATTGATGATTTATTTTCTTTTTAAATATGTAAATATTTTATTTGATTTTTTCATCTATCTCCCCTATTTTCTCTCTCTCTCTCAATTTCTCTCCCTATTTTCTCTCACCGTTATTCTTTTTCTCCTTATTCTCTCTCCCTCCTTATATCAACGTTACAATAACACAATTACGACAATCAGTTACACCAATTAGTTATAATTATCTTATAATACACCAAATAGTTACTCATGCATTATAATAAACAAAACAGTTACACCAAACAATTACACGAAATTATAACACTAACCCAATTTATTATTCAGTTGCTTACATAAATCAAAGAATTACATCATTTAGTAACACGACATGATTACACCAATTATAAATAATTGAATGACAAATAGGGTTGATGTTATAATTTTGTGTAATTATTTAGTGTAACTGTTTAGTTTATCAAAACACATGGATAACTATTTTGTGTGTTATAAGACAATTATAATTGATTAGTGTAATTGTATTGTTGTAACGTTGATATAAAGAAAGATAAAGAATGAGGATAGAGAATAACGATAAGAAAAAATAAAAGGAGAAAAAGCGTGAGAGAGAGAGAGAGATGAACAATTAAATCAAATTTTTACGTATTTAAAAAGAAAATAAATTATCAATAGGAGACAAAGAAAAAAATAGGGGAGAGATTGAGAGGGTAACGAAGAGAAAGAGAAAATAGGGGAGAGAGTAATGGAGAGAGAGGGACAAAGAGAATAATAGTGTGAGAAATAGGGGGAGAGAGAATGAGTGAAAGAATAAGAATTATACATAATTTAAGGAATAGTAAGTAAGTAAAATAAATAAAAAATTATTTGAATTTTGTACCTAGATTTTTTTTTAAATTAAATTTAATAGAGTAAACAATTTATTCATATACTTCCTCTCAAATAAATCTATACTACTTTAAAATGTCTACATACTTGAAAAATATTTATTTTCTTTTTTTACCCCAAACAATAGTATTAGAACTTTTTTATCATATATTGAAAGGTGACAAGAACATGTGATTTTCAATAATAACTTTTAAAAATATATAATGACAACATTAAATTAAACTTTTCATATTCTCCATTCAATCACAATGGTGAAGAAAACTTTTAGACTTCTACATCAATAGATTGGGTCGCTGATTGGCTCTAATGTTTATATATCTATCTATGTCTAAATCTATTTATCTATCTATCTATACTACTGTAAAATGTCACTATATTTGGAAAAAAAAAATTCAATTGTACCATCCAACAATGAAAGTATTACATTATTGTCTTTTATTAATGTTTAATCTTTTTTTAATGATAGTTTAAAATCAAGTTTAATTGTTCAAATTGTTAAACCCTAAAAGTTTTGCAATAAGTATTCAAAGGATTGAATAATAATAAATACATCAATTGCTAGATTAATTATCCTACTTAATTACCAACAATATGATTTGGTCATTTTAATTCCTCCAAATTTACCAAATTTTCTCTTTCTTGTATCCATATATTATAAATCTCACTTTGTTTCTGGTATCTATTTAGAGTATATGGTCGATTTATTTTTAATTCTGTGTTGTGAATTAATTTCAATTAATTTTTTTAAATAAATAACATTTGGTTTATTCATTGAAGTTTTATTCAAAGAGAATGGAAAGTGCCTTTGAGAACCACATAGTCTTAGATTCAACCATGGATGAATTTCTGATGGAGAGAGGATCTAATTATTTTGGGTATCTATCTCTTCATAACTATGTAGTTTGATTATAAAGCTTTTCTTTTTTCTTATTCCTGCGTATTTTATCTTTCAAATTCAAATTTCTTATAATTGGATTTTTTTTAATTTGGTATATTATGAATTTTTAGGTGCTCACATTACAGAGTGAGACTCAAGATCAGAGCACCTTATTGTGATGTGATATTCACACACAAGCATTGCCATAACATAATGAATTGAAGGTTCAGTTCTTTCCCCCCCCCCCCCCTTTCTCTCTTTTGTTCTGGAGTTAACAAAAAAAATTTATGCTATTTTCCTCTTTATACGATTACCATATTTAGTGGTTCATTACATTTGATTTTGTTTGGATAAAACATATAATTTTATTTAGCATTAAATAGAATTCACTATAGATAACTAATCGTCAGTAGATGATGATGATGTACAAATCGGGTTTGCACACCATTTGTCAAATGATAAGTAATAAATGCAGTAATTAAGAGAGACACAAGCAAGACAAGGATTTATAGTGGTTCGATCAACGTGACTTATATCCACTTTGAAAGGTTAGGGTCGACGGGGTATTTTATTACTTTAAGTACGTAGGGAGAGTGGAGAGATACAAGCTAAGAGAGATAAAAGAGTTGCACTCGATTGAGTGTGATGCCCCCCAAGTGTTGGTGGGACTCACAATTTATAGTCGTTTCTTAACAGATTGAGGCGACTTAATCTGGTGGAGCTGACGATTTCTTCTCAACGGATGAGATAGTTTCTGTGTTTTCTATAAGATTCGATCAAATGATGCAATAAGAATTGAATCTTTTCAAGGCGACGAGGATGAGGCTTTTGGATGAACCTGTATGCTCACTTGCTGATATAGCTCCTTAAACTCTAGTGAGCTTGATCGGGCGTGAACCATTTTGGGCCGGGCTTGTTGGGTCTCTTGGAGTTGGGCTATTAATTAAGATTGGGCTTATAACATGAGTTGATTCATTGGCCTTGACCCATCAGATGATATTACTAAAAAAGCCCCTTTTTCTCTTCTCTCTTTGTATTTTATTACTAGAAATGCACCATTTTATCTCTCTATCATTTACTTATCTATCATTTACTTAACAACACATATGAAAAGCTACTCTTAATACAATGATATAGGTTTGACAATAGGTGGCTATAGAAGAATCCTAAAATGGTACATGTGCACTAACTAGTATAAAAAAGAGATAATAGGATGTGAATACCTTTTTTAAAACTTATTTGGTTTTAAGCACCACCTCCAAACTTATCATCCTTTAAGTTCTCTTTTTCATTAAATAGTTGTCAATAAATGTACATTTTAAAACATTTTAAAATTCTTTCTAAAATATATTTCATAATTACCCCTTATCATAAATAGTGGATACTCAATTGATAACTTTTATATTTCCAACATCTAAATATTAGAATGTGAGACTTTCAATATTTCTTTTAATATTTGTGTATCATTTGAATTCTAAAATTTCATATATATATACACACACACATACACACACACACACACACATATATCAAACAGTAACATGCCCAATAAAAAAACAGTAACATCAAACAGTAACACGCTAAACAAAAAAATAGTAACATCAAACAGTAACATGCCCAATAAAAAAATAGTAACATCAAACAGTAACACGCTAAACAAAAAAATAGTAACATCAAACAGTAACACACTTAATAAAAAAATTATAACATCAAATAGTAACATACTCAATAAAAAACTTAATTAAAAATTTAATCTTTGATATTACTGTTTGATGTTACTATTTTTTTGTTGAGTATGTTACTGTTTGATGTTACTATTTTTTGTTGTTGAGCGTATTACTGTTTAATATTATTATATATATACATATTTATGTGTATGTGTGTGTGTATATATATATATATAAATGTTATTGTTTGATACTATTTTTTTGTCGAATGTGTTAATATTTGATGTTACTATTTTTTTGTTGAGCTTGTTGTTGTTTAATATTATTATTATATATATATACATGTGTGTGTGTCTATATATATAAAATTTCAAAATTCAAATGATACACAAATATTAA